GGGCATCGCTATTTTAAATTTTGGTATGTATTTAAATGTCAACATAGAGTGCCTACTACGAAAGCCTATTAGGGCCAAATTCATTGATAATATTTTTTATTTTAAAGTTGTAAAGGTGTAATAACAAGTTGTAAAGGTGTAATTACTAGTTTGTAAAGGTGTAATTACTAGTTTGTACAGCTGTAATTATGGAGTGTAGTGACAGAGTGTGTAGATACATGGAGTGTAGCGACAGAGTGTGTAGATACATGGAGTGTAGTGACAGAGTGTGTAGATACATGGAGTGTAGTGACAGAGTGTGTAGATACATGGAGTTTAGCGACAGAGTGTGTAGATACATGGAGTGTAGTGACAGAGTGTGTAGATACATGGAGTGTAGTGACAGAGTGTGTAGATACCTGGAGTGTAGTGACTACACTCACGTAACTTCACAGTGTCACTTCACAATCATTTCACTCAGTGTAGTGACAGAGTGTGTAGATACACGGAGTGTAGTGACAGTGTGGGTAGATACATGGTTTGTAGTGACAGAGAGTAGAGAGTGGGTGTATTTGTAGTTAAAAAAGGTGTAGTGACTGAGTCAAGTGACAGAGATTGTAGTACATGTAACAGAGTGTGTAGTGAGAGATTGTGCAGTGACAGAGAGTGTAGTGAGAGTGTAGTTAGATAGTGTTGTGGCAGAGACTGTAGAGACACGGAGAGTAGTGACAGAGTGTAGATGCAGTGGCAGAATGTGTAGTAACAGAAAGTGTAGTGGCAGAGAGTGTAGTGCCAGCGAGTGTAGTGACATGGAGTATAGTAATAGGGAGTATAGCGACGGATAGTGTAGTAAGATAGTATTGTGGCAGAGAGTGTATAGTGACAGGGGGGTAGTAACAGATAACACCTTTATAAACTTGTAATTACACCTTTACAACTAGTAATAACACCTTTACAACATGTAATTACATCTTTAGAAACTAGTAATTACATCTTTATAAACTTGTTATAACACCTTTACAACATGTAATTACACCTTTATAAACTTGTTATTACACCTTTATAAACTTGTTATTACACCTTTATAGACTTGTAATTACACCTTTATAAACTTGTTATTACACCTTTATAAACTTGTTATTACACCTTTATAGACTTGTTATTACACCTTTATAAACTTGTTATTACAACTTTATAAACTTGTAATTACACCTTTACAAACTTGTAATTACATCTTTACAAACTAGTAATTACATCTTTATAAACTTGTAATTACACCTTTACAAACTTGTAATTACATCTTTATAAACTTGTAATTACATCTTTATAAACTTGTAATTACACCTTTATAAACTTGTAATTACACCTTTATAAACTTGTAATTACACCTTTATAAACTTGTTA